TTTTCAATTTTGAGTCAGGATCTCTCTAAGTTACTGAGAGTCTCAAGAAATTGCTGAATCTGGTCTTGAACTTGTGATCCTTCTTCCTCAGCCTCCTGAGACACTGGGAATATAGGTGTGTGCCTCTGGTGTCCTGCTCTAGTCACTCTTTTTAATACTTGGCTCTTGTTTGCATCTTCTTTTTCAGGAGAATTTGTTGCAGGGTTTGTCCAGTTCAGGGTGTTTAATAAGGAGAGAGCAGCCAACGCTCTGTGTGCTGGGGTGAGAGTCACTGGCTGCAACACGGAGCACGTGAGTTTCTGGGAGACAGCAGCCTGCATGCATGCGCGCGTGTGCGTATGTGTGTGAACTTATGTTTGTGTGCCTGTGTCATTGTGCATCAAACTTGCTCTCTTTCCCCCTTATTCTCTTTACTCCCCTTTCCCATTTTTCTTGATGTATTATACATAGCAGTTGGCCTTCTTGCTACATATTCCTACACGCACATGGTATAATATGATCATTTTCATTTTACAGTACCTCTTTCCCTCCCCTCCTCCTTTCCTGGTCCTCTTCCTCTACTCTACTGGTCTCCCTTCTATTTTTCTGAGATGTCCTTCTTTCCTTCTTTGTTCTATTTAGCTTCCACATATCTCATTACCCTCTTGATGGTGTCATATAAACAGAATTTGAATGGAGTCCATTTTATCAATATTTTAATTTATGGTGAGTATTTTTGTGCCTGTTTTCTTCCTTTGTTTCTTTCTTTCTTTTTTTTTTTTAATTTTATACTGGGGATTGAATCCAGGGGTGATCTATCACTGAGATACATCCCTTTTTTATTTATTTTTTTTTATTTTGAGACAAGGTCTTTCTAAGTTGCAGAGGCTGACCTCAAACTTGCCATCCTCATATCTCAGCCTCCTGAGTCATGTGCCACCGTGCATACATGCATGTGCCACCGTGCCCACTCAGCTTGTGTTTTCTTTAAGAAGTACTTCCTGTATTGAGGTCATAAGGCTACTGCAAATATAACATTAGTATTGGAAAATTTTTAATATTAACATCTAGAATACTCATCTTTATGTGAGCATGTGTATGTGTATGAGAATGTGACTTCCTTTCTCCTTGCTGAGGCTCAGGGACCAGAACTCTGGGACCTCCTGTCCAGGTGCAGACATCCTGTACTGCTTAGGACCAACATCAAGGGTTGAGGTTTCAAATGCACCATTTGAAAATACAACAATGCACCATTGTTGTATTCTCAGCCTTTGGGATTAAATATTCTGTTACCTAGAGTTAGGGTGAGGATTATGTTCAGGAATTTTAGCCCACAGCCAGCAAAGACTTCATAAATGAAGGCTCAGCTACGTGAGAAATCCTTAGGGAGTTTGAATTAAGGAGACCAGACTCTAATTACCTTTAAACCCGCTCCAGGATGGCTCCTCCTAGCTCCAGCCTCCAGCCACCTATTATGGTATCGAGGTTTACTGAAGAGGCCAGCGAGAAAGAGAGAGAACACGCCAGGGAGTGCACTTTTATTGGGGAACAAAGAATTCTGGGGAAAATCCCATCCAATCAAGATTCAGGGGGCCAGTGTCCCAAGGTCAGGGGCAACGATTGGGTCTTTGGGGTAGTGGCAAGACACACCTCCACACCGATGAGCCCTTGGACCTGAGAAGGGTGGGGAAAGCTCTGGACACCAGAATGTGTCTAAGTGTCTCTCACCCAGCCAGGGAGGTAACTCAAATCACATGGGAGGATGGCCTCCCACAAGGAACAACCCATGAAAGCCTTTTGAAGCTGAGAGTGCTTGAGAAACATGAGGTGTTGTTATTCTCCACCTGAGCTTTAGCTGTCAGAGTTTAACTTGGCCTTCCCACCCCTGCCCAGGGATTGCATGGATGGACCATGTGTTGAGACGTTACCAGGAAAGTCCTGGACATGGTTATGATGGGGAATTTTCAGAGTGGAAACACTAAATGAGCAAATCTTTTGTGACTACCTGGCTCCCCTGGCACTTTGAAGCCATGGCTTCAGGCATGTGTAATGTAGTGTGCACATGTGCCAACAAAAACATGCTCTTACCTGCCCTGGGCACCTACACTGTACAAGAACAGGAGACACAACGGTGATATATTCCTTGCTCTCATCCAACAGGGCAGACTTTCACACAAAGGTGAAATGACTATCTGATGAACCCAAGGTCTTAATAGAAATATAAACCCGGGAGGTGTGAATGTAGCTCAGTGTTGAATGCTTACCCAGCATATGTGAGGTCCTTGGTTCAACCCTCAGCAACAAAAATAAGACAAAACAAAACAACACGACAACAACAACAACCACAAATAACTAGGGGCTATAAGAACACCTAACTCTGATGAGGGTGTCAAGGAAGTGATTGCAGGAAAGGGAACTTCTGTGCTGAGTCTTGAGAGCTGGAAAGAGAGAACTTTATGAGTTCTCAGTGCAATTTAGGAAATGAATAATGTGTTCAGAATCATCAGTGTTTCAGAGGGCATGTGGCATTGAGGGGGCAGCAAGCTGCTTTGAAGTTTTGGTGTATGAGATGTATGTGGGGTAGTGACAGGAACTGAATTAGGAAGAGACCTCACATCATACCAATGATTTTGAACTTTATTCTATAGTTGATGGACTTGATCCTCTTTGGGATGATCATGTTGGTAGCACAGTGGTGACAGATTCTAGTGAGGCAAGATTGAAGACTAGGTAACCAATATTGAGGTGGTTCCCCATAGTCTAGATGAAGGCCTGAAAGAGGGTATTGCCAAAAGGGATGAAAAGGAGGTACTGTGAATTCCAGAGATTCTAAATTTATGTCCAGTTGAACACAGATGATGGAAAGGCAACAAGTCTACATTGGGGTAAGGAAATATCTTTTATTATATCATGGTGTCTGGATGAAGAGCAGGTTTAAGGTCAACTAAGGACATACAGTCATATGCTACTGCATAACAATATTTTGACCAATGACAGACTGCAAATATGACAGAGGTCCCAGGAGATCATATTACCTTGTGACATCATGGTCATCCTAGTTTGTGCAAATACACTATCATGTTCACACAGTGTGAAAATTGCCCAATGATGCATTTCTCAGTACATGTCCCCATGCTAAATAATGTCTGGATGTAATTAACTGTGTTTCAGTTGGGGGGAGCCTGAAGTGCCTTCAGAGAGGTCCCAGTGATAGAGTTTGAGCCCAAGAAACAAATGGACTGGAGATAGAGCTTTGGGGCCATCAGTGAGTTGTTAGTAACTGTAGCCAAAGAGGATCAGACAATCTATAAGGGAGAGGGAGATGTATCCCCTCCTAGGGAGCAGCACTTAAGGAATTTTTGAAGGAAGAGTCCAGCCAGGGAATCCAAGAAGGAATGTTCAGAAAAGTTGAAGGAAAGTCAGAAGGAGATGGTGTGTCACTAAAGCTGGGGGTAGAGAAGTTTTTATCAGAGACACACACATCAACACTGCCCATGGAGAACTGATGAGCAGCAAAGATTCCTCTGTATTTGGTCATTAAGGTCTTTGGGCTCACCAGCAGCCCTCTCATCACCACCTCCTCCTCTCCTTGTTTCCTAGCACTGCCTTGGTGGAGGAGGATTCTTCCCAGAGAGCAATCCCAAGCAGTGTGGAGACTTCTCTGCTTTTGACTGGAATGGACATGGAACTCAGGTGCATTTCAGCAACAGCAGGGAGATAACAGAGGCAGCTGTGCTTCTCTTCTATCGTTGAGAACTTCAGACTACGAGACCCAGATCTCTTTTTCCGTGATGCAGTCCCAAGATTGGAGAACCACTTGCCTAGCAGTTAGAATGTTAGTAGTAGAGGAATGAATAATAAATCATCTAATTCAGAGATTGGTGTTTGTGTTATTCAACTTTGCATCCCTGTGACCAAAATATCTGTCAAGAACAACTTAGAGGAGAAAAAGTTTATTTTGGCTCATGGTGTCACAGATTCAGTCCAGGGTGGATCAAGTCCATTGCTTTGGGCCCAAGGTGAGGTGGAACATCATGATGGAAGGTGTGGTGGAGGGAAGTTACTCCACTTATGGCAGAAGTGGGGCGGGGAGGGGGGGGAGACACACTTGTGAGAGCGAATAGAGTGTGAAGGGACCTCTGGGAAGAAGACCCTTCTGGGGTCACGAGATCCCAGTGACCCACCTCCTCCAGCCATGCCCCACCTGCCTACAGTTACTGCCCAGTCAGTTCATACAGATTAGGATGCACTGATTAGTTACAGTGCTCACAGTCCAGTTACTTCACCTCTGAGTATTCCTGAATTAACACAGGATCTTTTTACGTAGGGAGGAAAGCACTGCAGGAGATTCCAAAAGACTGTCTATTGCTCTCAACTATTCAACTTCCACCACCTCCGTGCTTGGACTGTTAGGGCTCAGGAATCCTGACAGGGGAATATGCCATCCCCCAAAGCCCTTCAGGTAACCCTTTAAAATAGCCAGAGGAGTAAAGGGCAGGGAGGAGGCTTTTTGTCCTGCTCCTTCTTACCTTACCCATATGGACTGCTCAATTTGCATCCTCTACCTGAAACTCCTAAGGAAGAAAATAGTCTTTTTTGTGTGAGGAATTGGCTGTGTGACAAAGTCACCCAATATCCATATCTGGTGTCTGACAGCCTTGGTGGTGGGTTTCTCCTTAGGGAAGGATGGGGCTGCAGGCCTCTGAGGATGCCTCTTCTAGGGTAGTGGCTAACCCTCCTGGATCCCATCTTCAGGGCCTTGTTCAAGAGGGGGGCCAAGTGACCCAATCATCCCCACTGGGTTATCATACAGGTAGGATGGGATGACATCAGTACTGGCCCTCGATTAAATGTTAGGTGTTTTAAAAGAGGGGAAATTTGCTGGAATCTAAAACTGAACATTCAAAACAGCCTGAAGAGGACAAGGGGACACAGGATGTTGGATATCATAAAATAAAGAAGAAATTCCCAGCAGCATAGCCACTGCCACAGCTAGGTAGAAGCACCACCCAGAGCAGCCCCTCTGTGAGCAAAGTGGAAGGATAGAAGAATTAAAGGAACCCACATTTCTAGGATCCCTGAGGTGTGTGTGGTCATGGAGTGTTTAGAAATCAAGGACATTGCCTGATTAAACTGAAAGATGTGCTGCACAATATCCTTGTCAAGGAAAGAACCAGCCATCTCCCCAGGCCATAAGAAAGGACAAGGGAAGGAACAATTTTGTAGCCACTTCATGGGGTTTGGCACCTGAGTGAGCTGACTCTTGGCAAACCCAAGATTGGCCTGAAATACAGGCCCAGGAAACACATGGCAGGACATAGGGTATTCTTACATGACCTGCAGAAAATCAAATGTGGAGAGAGGTTTAAACAGGGGACAACTGGTTGTGAAAACCTGCTGGGCTCTGCCCCACCCCCTCCAACCTGGCTGCTTGAAGGAATGGCCAGTGATTCAGAAGGATGGCAGCCGGAGAGAGTGAGTTTTGAGACTAAACCCAACACCAGGAAATGTGGGTGCCACAGGTGACATAGGGGACTAAGAATTGGCTCCTCCACCACACAAGTGGAACCCAGGGGAAATCCCTGGGGACCTGTCTTCCAGAGTGGACTGGTAATTACTGGGCCCTGGATGTGGAATGATTTAAAATTTCCAGGCCAATTGGCGTTCAGTGAAGAGCCTGGAGTTCACCTAAGCCTAAATCCTGCCTCCAGGAATTCCACCTATGGGGTGACCTCGCTCACTCCAGCAATCCAGAAGGTGCAGCATCATATTCCAGATGACCCTACCTGAAACTGAGAAGAGAAGCTGAGAATCTTTTGAAATCCAACAGAATGAATTTTTTAACTTTGCATTGAGTTTTATTTATTTTTTTTTCTCGATTTAATTGTGACCTTAATGGTATATGGACATTTATACATACAGATATTTGGGGGTTTTTTTCTCATTTCTAGCATCTTTGAAATGAGTTATTGTTTTGTGGACTAGGATGTTTGATTATTATATTTTACTTTTGTTTTGTATTCTTTTATTTTTATTTTTAATTATTAAAAATTTTTACTTTATATATATTTTTATCTTACCTGTTTCCCTTGATTGTCTTTCTCTCTTTTCTTCTGCTAACAGCCAATCTTTATTGTTCTCTCTTTCACTCCTCCTTTAATGTTTTGTTTCTATCTTATCTCCCTCTCCCTTGTAATTATCTAATCTTATACCACTTCTGTTATCTCCCTGTCCACCACTGAAAATTGTAAATTTTTGTTTTGCAAATGTGTTGTTTTTATTGTAGGCAATAATTGATCATATCATTGCTGTTTATTGTGATAATTAACATTGTAGATGTCATCGTAGGAACTATTTGTTTTAATGCTGTATATTGTTTGCATTGGTTGTTGTTAATATTTGACTCCCCTAAACAGTGAAGTACTGGAAACCTTCAAGAACACTGTAGATCCACAGGGGATAGACTCTACTGCTCAAATCCATACTGTCAGATGGGTAGACACATAAGCAACATGAAAATGCAAGGGAACACGGTGGAATGAGATGGACATTTTTACCCTAAGTACAAATATAAAGGCATGAATGGTGTGACTCTACTTTGTGTACAAGCAGAAATATGAAAAATTGTGCTTTAGGTATAATATAAATTGTAATGCATTCTGCTGTCATAACAAATTAGAATAAAAAATAAAAATAAATTTCAAAAAGTTAAAATAAAAAAAGGCAATGTTGGGGTTTTTTTGCCTGCCCCCGCTTCCCTCCTGACCTGCAGGAGAGATTGGGGGAGCACGCCCCAACCAGGACAGGCCAAGAAAGGTAAAGGTCGACTGGCCGCCCGCCGGCACCTAGCCCTCCCTCCCCGGAGGACAATTAGATATGCCAGGGAGAACTGTCAAAGCAGGATCTCGTTTAATGAGAAAACATACACAGCTAATATAATGTACAGGAGTCAATCAGGATAAAGGTCAGCAGGATGGGGAGAATTTACATCTATACCCATCCTACAGGCAGTAATGTACATGAGGGCAGAGGGGTTCTGAGCCTATCCTAGAGGTGGTCCGATTCTTCATCACAACCCACAGCAATGCCTCTGGCTAATTGCTAGGTGCTCTCTTAGCCATATGTGGCCCCAGGACTGGGAAGTGGGTAGCAGCCAGTCCTCTTTTCTGATGCAACATGCCCCATGTTACATCATGCCCTACAAGGCAAGACAGCAAATCACCCCAAACAACCAAGATACTCCAATAACAGAATCCATTGACACTACAGTGGAAGAAATATCGGAGAAGGAGTGTAGAATGTACAGAATCAGACTGATCTGTTAAGTAAAGGGTAGTACAGGAAGTGAAATCAGAGAGAAAAGTGGAAGTAAAAGATTACTTCAATAAAGAGACAGAGATTTTGAAATTACTGAATACACTTTCTTCTCAGCAGCACGTAGAGCCTTCTCTAAAATAGGCCATATCTTATGCAATAAAGCAAGTCTTAGAAAATAAAAAAAATAAACAATACCTTGCATCCTATCAGATTGTAAGGAATAAAATTAGAAATCAATGATAAAATAAAAAATAGAAGCCACTCTATCACCTGAAGACTAAATTATATGCTATTGAATGGCAAATGGATAGCAGAAAAAATCAGGGATGAAATTTAAAAAATACTTAGAGGTAAATGAGAATAGCAATACAACATACCAAAATCTGCAGGATGCTACGAAGACAGTCTAAGAGGAAAGTTCATTGCATTAAAAGAATAGAAAGTCAACAAATAAATAAACCAAGACTACATCTCAAAGCCCTACAAAAAGAAGAACAAATCAACACCAAAATCAGTAGAAGACAGAATATAATTAAAATTAAGCTGAAGTCAATGAAATTGAAACAAAAGAAGCAATCCAAAAAAAAATCAACAAAACAAAAAGTTGGTTCCTTGAAAAGAATCAATAAAATCGATAAATGCTCATGTCAGGAGCTGCCACATAGGAGTAAGCAAGCATGGACCCTTAGCCTTAAGGGACGGAGGTGTGGGACTGGCTTCCACTTGCAGCATGAGAGCAGGTGGACCTCACCTTCACTCAGCAGGAGATTGAAGCTCTGGGAGTGGGCATCACCCAGTGAGACTGGGCTACACCCCCTGAAACCCAATCCCTTGCCTCATTTGGATGGAATTTTC